TTATCATACTAGTTACGAGAGGCATGTTTAAGTCCGTAAATGGACTTATGTAGGCGACAAACACGGGAGTCACCAGGAGCTGCAAAACCTGGTGGAATCTGCATGTATACTTCCTCATGGAGATCGCCATGCAAGAAAGCATTATCGACGTCCAATTGGTATGCTACCCAACCACAAACAGCAGCAACTGCCAATAAACAACAAACACTGACCAGTTTCGCCACAGGAGCGAAAGTATCATGATAATCAATCCCTTCTGTTTTGTCTGAGTAAACCCTTTGGCAACCAAACGAGCTTTATATCGTTCAATGGAACCATCTGCATTGAACTTGATCTTGTACACCCACTTAGAAGCCACAACACGCTTGCCCGGAGGTAGACTAACAAGATTCCACATGCCATTGCCAACGAGTGCATCAATTTCTCGTTGCATGGCAACACGCCACTCCTCATAGCGCATGGCGTCCCGCCAATGATGTGGCTCATACTGACTAGAGACCGCGGCCAAAAAGCTCTTGTGTCGAGGGGAGAAAGCTCGATACCCTGCATAGTTGGACATCGGGTACTGGATATTGGATGGAGGCAACTCTGTTTCATAACCATCCAATCTTTGAGACACTTGCCGCACACGGTTGCTGCGACGAAGACCAACCGCAGAAGGCTCAGCTAAAGCCAATGGAGAGGGCTGACTTACCGGGACGGCAGTGGACGAGTCGGGTAACAAATCACCTGGCTCGACTGTTGTCGAGGGAGGAGAAGAGACCTCGGCCCGTGCATGGACCCGCACAGTGGGTGACATAGGCTCCTCTGCTTCGTCCACTATTGGAGGAGTGGCCAAGGGCAACTGCTGAGAAGAAGATGATGTCGTTTCCGAAAATGGGAACACATTTTCCACAAAAACTACATCCCTTGATGTATAGAACTTACGAGAGGATAGATCAAACAACCGATAGCCTTTCTAAAAATTTGGATATCCCACAAATACCGAGCGCTTTCCTCGTTCATCAAACTTAGGAACTCCTTTGTGATTATCCTTCCCATACGCCAAACACCCCAGGACACGCAGATGTGCATAAGAGGGAGGCTTCCCGAACATAACTTCATACGAAGAACGATCTTGTAGAACCTTGCAAGGCAGACGATTGATGAGGTAGGTGGCTGTCAATACACACTCTCCCCAAAACTTCAATAGAAAAATCGCCCGAAACCGCGGTGCTCGGGCCGTCTCGAGCAAATGACGGTGCTTACTTTCGACTACTCCATTCTGCTATGGAGTGTCGGTGAATGACGTTTGCAGAATAATGCCCCGCTCTTCGTAGAAAGCACGAAGACTACTAGTCTGGAATTCAAATCCATTATCCGCCTGTATCCTTGCTACCTGGCAATTGAACTGAGTTTCTGCCATGTTAATGAACATTTTCAAATAACTCTCAACTTTTGATTTGTAAGCCATCAAATACACCCATGTGGCTCTACTAAAATCGTCGAAAATTGTAAGAAAATAGCGAGCTCCATTGTGAGTGGGAACCTTGAAACTCCCCCAAATATCCACATGAATAAGCTCCAAACAACGACTAGTCTTTATTGAATGCTAAGGGAATGACAAACGTGTCTGTTTAACACGAATACAAGAATCACAACTCTCATTCTTGCACTTATTTTGAACCGAACGAAATAACAGAGGTGTCTTCTTGAGTGACGGGTGACCAAGACGGGAATGCCATAGCTCCCCCAGTCCTTCTTCACTGCGAGTAGCCAAGACCTGTGGTTCCTCAACACCAGGCAGACGAAGGAAATACATCCCATCACGAAGCTGCCCCATCCCAATCGTCTTCCTGGAGTGTAAGTCCTGGATGACGCAAAAGTCGCCCAAAAACGTTAAAGCCACATCAAAATCCTGGGTGAGTCTGCTGACTGACAGAAGGTTACACTTAAAAAACGGAAAACTGAGCACCCGGCTAAAATTCATCCCATTTGACAAACTGGCATCCCCAACATGTTTGACTGTAACGCTATCCCCATTCGGAATACTAACAGGTAAATGGCCCGATACCTCAGCAGAATTTTCTAGCAAGGACTCATTATTCGTAATATACTCATTGCATCCTGAATCAATGATCCACTCAGACTGTGCAAGAAAATTACCTGCCATGTTTACTTGAGGATCGAACGATGATGACAAGTTGGGTTGACCCCATTGTGATTAAGAAATTCTAGTAGTTGCTAGAGTTTCGCAATTCAGCCCAGGGATGCTGATGCCAACTCCACTTGAGGTTTGCACTGCACGAGGGTTATAAGGTCTCCCGGCACGCTCCCTCTCACGCTCTCCTGGACGAGATTCTCGATCACGATCAGCTTGACGGGGCTTCTGCTCCGGCCAGCCTATAATTTCATAATATTTTTCTTTCGTATGTCAAGGGCGCTGACAGTGGATGCATCACACGCGCTCTTTGCGATCAGCTCTACGAGGTCTCTCCTCGCGTCTACTAGCATCCGGAGCACCACGATCTTGGCGAACTTGGAAGGCAGCGGCGTCGACAGTTGGACGACGATTTGCTGCAATCTGCCTATGTTGTTCTTCCGTGGAAACCAGACGATATGCCTCTCCAAGACTCGGAGTGGGTTTCATTGACAAAATCTAAGTTTTCACTGTCCCAAAAGCATCACCTGAGCCCATAAGAAAATCGAACAGCCTGTCGTTTTCCATATTGCTCATTACCTTCTTGTCGATTTCACAAGTGCACTGACCGCAGGTGCAGCGCGGAATGGGGGTAATCGTCAGCATCTCTTCCCAAATTGCTCTCAACTTGGTGAAGAAGGTAGATACCATGAGTTTCTCTTGCCGCAGAGTGCTCATCATCGTGTGAATTTCATACGCTCTAGGCGCCGAACCACGACCAAAAGGTGCCTCAAGATCAGTCCACATCTCGCGGGCTGCCTTGGCGTAATGAATGGAGCTATGTACCTCCTTGTCCATGGTTGTCTTTAGCCATCCTTTGACGAGAGCATCACACTGAAGCCACGCTTCTTGTAGCTCGCCTGGAGTCGACGGCTTGACAACACTTCCATCAACGATACCGAGTTTGTTTTTGGCAATCAAGGCCTCGGTCATATTCGTGACTCACTCTCCATAGTTGGAGTCATTCAACAGTTCACCAACGAACAGCTGACCTGGGTTGTCTGATGCTTGAATATTCAACGCGACGGGGACGACTACGGGAGGTATTATGACATTGCCTCCATTGTCGCCACTGGTATCACCATCAGAACCCTTGCCGCTCATGACGATAACTTAGGGCTTAGAAAGTCAGCTTTGATACCATGAAATATTTGTAAACACAAACACACAATCGCACAAAACAGAGTTTACGTGGTTCTTCTCATTCGGTGTGAATGAGCTTACTCTACGAAGAAGTTATGCTATCTCAACTTTCATTCATGGGTTGCAGCCGATACACTTACAAGACATATATATGAAACCCTAATCAACACTAATTCTCCTATGGTTACACAAAACCCGTCGGCCTAGAGGGGAAAAGAAAATAAAACCATGTAGCCTTACACGACTGCGTACCATGCATGAATAATAACCATTACAGTAACTGACCGGAGATTGAACAGATCGAGGAGGTCGAAGGGGGAGGCTGAGACGTAGAGCAGTTGTCGAAATCGTGGGTTCTTATCGGCAGATTCAAAGCTGGAGAAGAGTTAGACGACCCAACAAGCCAGACACCGGTGTAGAAATCTCATATAAATTACTCAGACAAGCTAGCGTAGTTGAAGTGCACAAGTCCCTCAAATTTTGAATTACGTCCTCGAATTAGTAGGATTTTTGGGCCCGATACTATACCCTAACCCTTAATGATTGAACCCTAGGTCCTAATTATCCAAATCATAAACTACAAACACTAAGATGGTGCATTCATTTTTTTGCCTATATTTGGAGAAATCATAACCATCGATTATTATTTCTATTCTAACTTATCTTAGGGTATAAGATTTAGAGATTAAGACCTAGATTTTGATATTTAAGGGTTAGATTATTGGTCTAGTAGCCTAGAACCTGGAGGTCCCAGGTTTGAATCTCTTAAGTAGTACCTTAATGATAACAAAATGAAATTTATATCACCCTTATCCACACAAAAAAAAGGTTAGAGTATAGTATTATGTCTGAAATATCAGTCAATTCAAGATCTGGATAACATTTTCATACTCAAGATATGTGGTACTCCTAATTTCATCTTGAGTACTATAGAACTAACCCGGCTAAATGCTGACGTATATATAACTCAGACTAGCTAGGATAGTTGAAGTGCACACAATTAAGAGCCCACGTACTTGTTACTAGTTCGCCATTGATGAATCCATGTCGGTGGTTAGTTACTACTTACTAGTTAGGATGACGTAGGGGAATGTTTGATCATCATATATGTACAATGAAATCTCATATGTATGGATTTTTTTCTCAGACTGCCCTAGTTATTAAATAAAAAATTCAAGATTGTCGTTTATTTCCCGGAATGCCCAACTTTGGCATAAATCGTCCAAGAGCGCAGCGTTTTAGATAAAAGTTGAGATGAGAAGCGATGTATGTTAAATAGTTCTGGAAGTTGGTACAGGTATTTAGGATATATTGAATATCGTACCGAACTTATCACTATTTGGTAATATCACCGGTTTATTTTGAGGGATTGAGATTGGGATTCATTTTTTAGTGCTATTCGGTATTCGAGATTGGGATCGGTATATACCGAAATACCGAGAAACAAAAAAAATTAAAAATTAATGAAATATGGCACACAACTTTTGGTCATTTTCCACTCTTTCATAACTCACAAGTCCCCATCTAACTCAATTTTGGCTTTCCAGTTTAAGTCACTCTCGTCTCTCATCTAATATCTTGTAATTTCATAACATAAAAGGAAGTGCTAGCATAAGTCATCTCTCATCTCCCAATTCGTCGAATTATAAATTATCAATGACAAGAACTTGAGTTGCCACCTCTCCTACCTGAGTTGACCGTTAAATGAGTGACGTGTCAACTAAAAAATAATAAAGTAATAATATTTTATTTTTAATAATTTCCACATCAATACAATAAATTAAAAAATAATAAAAACAAAAAGATGTCGACCCCGGCTGCGTACTCCACTATTCTCGTCGGCGTCCCTTCCCCGTTGTTGCCCTTAAATATCGCCTCTTCCCGGATCAATGTACCCCCACCGTGTCGGCCAACATCGTTGACCGGTACTCCCTGTCCGGGTCGGGTCCCAGCAGCGACAACCCAAAATCCGATACCCGGGCCACCCAGTTCCCGTCTAGGAGAATATTTGACAATTTGATGTCCCGATGGATGATCGGTGGCGCCGATCTTGATCTCCGCTGCGAACCCGTGGTAGCGGTTGCGAGCTCTGAGAGAGTGAATTCCTCGGCATATCTTGTTGTTGATGGAAGAAAGAAAGATGCTTTGGAGATTAAAACAAGATCAAGGAAATAGGGGAAAGAGTAGAACACAGCAGCAACAGCCGGAGAAGATTATTATTATTATATTTACCCCATTATAATACTCGGCAAATCATTACGACCCAGATGATTAAGATGGATTACTTTTTTTGGTTTGGTTTTGTGATACGGTGGGAAATTGTATTGCGAGATATCTCCCTTTTCTTGGCAGGAGTGGGCCAGCATTCTACTTTCTTGGCTAGAACAACGAGAGATTTCTTTATTTGTGAAAATATGCTTGCATGTTATTCCATTTACTCCCGTTTAAACACATCAAGGAGGAAACTTAAAATCCTATTAAGGTGGAACTATCTTCCCCTCTCTAACTACTACCAAATCGTGCTCCACTTAAGGGGAGGACTGGCTTATTGACTCTCTAACCTCTTCACTTCCCTGAAAACTTTCATTTTTTTGAAGATTTGAATCTTTGGCAGAACAACATCCTGTGGAGCTTCGTCTCCTTTTATCCCCTCTAACTCTATTAGCCAGCTTCTTGGACTCTTTCTTACTCTTCTTCGATCGGTTGGGCCCTCTCTTTAATCCTACTCAACCTCTCCAAGCTCATATTCTTCTGATCATCGAAAACTGCATCCTCGAGCTCCTCGCCGTAAGCCTTCTTCGATAAAGTTCCATAATAGAACTTTTTGTGCAAAGACTTGACTGGGAGCACTTCTACACGTTCAACTTCTACCCTCTTGTCTTCCTCCTCGGTATCCTTATTCCTTCTCTTCCACCCATAAAGAAAGTAGTCATCAACTCCACATAGTCCTATTGACCACGTGAATTTCTTTCCATGTAGTTGATGCGGTCGGTTGCTAAACAATAGGGATTGTGGCTTCCTCTCATGATGCTTCTTTTTGCTAAGGCGTGCTGAAACAGAAGCAGACTTGGCTGATGATTCAAGGACCGACTCCAGCTCAAGGACGATAGATCACAGTTCTGGTGCGCCCTCAGGTGGGCAATCGATGATGCGGTGTGCTGTAGTGGAGCTAAGGTTGGAGTTGCGTGAAGTGCGTCCACCTTCACAGCAACAAAAGTTTCGACCTCTGATGGCGGTTTTGGTTTGGAGACTCTCGTCGGCACAGCAGGACGGACGACATTGGCGGTTCAGGCGGTGCGAAGTCAATGACATCAGCGTCTTCTTCCTTGTCCTTTATCGACTATGCTAGAGCTTCAGCTTGCGGTGGTGGTAGTGCGGTTGCTACAGGTAGGACGGAGATCTCCGCCTCTTCCATAGCGGCTAGGGTCTCGGCTTGCGGTGGTGGTGGTGTTGTTGATGGCTTGTATTTGTCATACGACACAATCATCATGCCGCAGGTAGCAATGACACGATCTAGCATTTGGATTGCCCGATTGATGAGTTCCTACTCCTTTGATGATCTCTCTGAGGGCATCGTGATCGGAACCCGGATCAACGGCTCTGATACCAAATGATACGGTGAGAAATTGTATTGCGAGATATCTCCCTTTTCTTGACAAGAGTGGGCCAGCGTACTGCCAAATTGTGCTCCACTTGGGAGGGGGGGGGGGGGGAGACTGGCTTATTGACTCAACTAATGACTGCTCCTAATTCAGTGGCAAGACTCATTCAACATAACAAACTCACATAACAAATCCCAGAAGCTACTCCTACGTCTACAACGGCAATCTTGGGCGATGGTTGGGCTACACCAATCCGGTAGCGTGAATTGGGGTTGTGGCTCTCGAACTGAACATTGATTGGGCCGAGTTGAGTGATTCGTGAGCTCATCATTTTGTTCTCTTGTGGCTGGAGATTGAAATTGGACCCAGGAAGAAATAGGGGTGAAGAAAAAAGGTGGGAGCTTTTTGTTTATGCATAAAGAAGTAATTTTGATTGTGCAGAGAAAGAGAGGGGGAGCAAAGGATGAAGGAGGGAGGAAGAAGATGGTGGAGATTCAGTAATGGAGTTGTCGATTTCCTTTTCTTTATATTCCTAATGTTGCTCATTCCGTCGTCCCATTGCGATGATGTTTCTGGTCTGTTGACTTTCAAGCAGAGCTCAAATGATTCTGATCCCAACAAAGTTTTGTCCAGCTGGAGTTCTAATTCCAACAGCGGTGGGGCTTGTTCCTAGAAATTATTAAAAAATCAAATTTTTATTTTTTTAATTGACACGTCACTCATTTAACGGTCAACTATAAGAGTTGACCACCACATCAGCAAAAGTTAACGGAGACTAACGGCCAGTGACTAAACTTGAACTGTTAACCTAATTTAAGTGACTATGGATGGAATAAAATAATTCTAGTGGCTAAAGTGAAATTTACTAGTAATTCAAGTGACCAAACTTGCAATTTAGCCTTTAAAGAACATAAAGCACTCCAAAGCACTTTATCTAAAAGGTTGTCCAACTCAGCGATTGATGTCCTTCGCTCTGATTGGTCATATTCTTTGCACAAGGATCGCTGCAGGGTGGTGCACTTTAACACTATGTTTGGCAACAAGGGGGGTGCAAGTTCGAGGGGGGTACAAGTTGAGGGGTAAATTGTTGGGGGGTGCAACTTGGTGGAGGGTGTAAGTGGAGGGGTAAATTGTTGTTTGGATGAAAAAGTAGGGGGGTGCAAATAGAGTAAAAAGTAAGTAATTATATTATTATAAAATAAATTTATCAATTTATAAAATATTATCACAAAATAATAACATGAAAATTCAATATATAATAATAAAAATAATTTTAATAAAAATAATTATTATATAATAATGCTCAAATATAATTATTTATAACAACAATAATAATCATTGGTCGAGCAACCTCGAAACTCGAAATCCAAATCGTAACTAGTCATCCTAACGGGGTTCTCATGCCTAACTTTAAATTGAATATGGTCAAACTTAGTCAAACACGTTCGAATCTGTAAGTTTTAACTACTTATTAAAGTAAATCGAGTTAACTAAACTGTTCCTCTCTATCTTTTCAACAAACGCTTCTTATCTCTAATTTTCAATGCAAATTCGGGTCAACTAAGAGATATCGATTTGACGAGGCGAACATTGACAAACTTGCTCTCTGAGTCAAACGGTCAACCCCAAACAACTTCTACACTAATATAGATATAAGAAAAAATTAATAATATTAATTATTATGTAATTATAATCTAATTAAAAATTCATAATTCCCCTCCTCCCCCTTCCCCCTCCCTTCCTTCCTTCCCTTGCACCCCAATTTGGGGGGTAAGCCGAAACAGTGAATTTACGCTCACGTTTTGCACCCTCCTACTGTTACAAAATAACCAAACGGGGGTAAACACCTTGGAACTTGTGTTTACCCCTCCAAACTTGCACCCCCTTCCATTTACACCCTTTCCCAAACATAGTGTAAGTGATGTGGCCAAAAGCACACTGTTGGATAGCGCTTTATGTAAAGCGCTCCCACCGTCATCGTTTTATGTGCAGGCCTCCACGTGTTCCGCCTTGGTTGGTTCGTTTTACTGGACGCAGATAGCTATTGGGTGGAGCATTTTGTTTGGAGTAAATAGTTTTATCTTGCAACGTTTTGCTACCGCCCCATTTCACAATAAATACCCCACCCCTCTCTTATTTCAACCCACACCACCATCTACTCTCTCTTTCCTCTCTTCTTCATCCATCCTCCACAAGTCAAGGATTCCTTATGTTGATATGACTTGAATCGGACTATCAGCCGCTACGACTGGTAATCGGGGGTCAGCGAGTGGGGTCCAGGGGCAACGCCCCCGCCCCACGGTGTATGGGCTCAATGTTATTTGGGTTCGGGTTCTGGGCCTGGTCTGTAACTGTTTCCTTTGCCAGATTGGATTAGGTTTAGACCCACATGGAGAAGTACTATAAATACTTCTCATACTCCTCTGTAATCTGTAATCTCCTTGATATAGTGAAACTGGCTCTCTCTCGCCCGTGGACGTAGCTAACACACATCGTGTTAGTGAACCACGTAAATCGTGTGTCGTGTTTTCGATTCTCGCTTTCGTATTCTTGCTTTGTCGATTCCTGCGATTTCCCGATACTTAGCAGCGCGATTTATAACAAGTGGTATCAGAGCCGCGGCTGGAAATCAGGCTAGGGTTTTTTTTTGATTCAGAAGAATGACGTCGGTGAACATGAAGATCGAAAAGTTCACGGGGAAGAACAGCTTCGCTATATGGCAGATCAAGATGCAGGCTTTATTGAAACAGCAAGGGCTGTGGAGGCCGCTGTCTGCGAAACAGAAGAAGGCAACGGTCGATGACGATGAGTGGAATACCCTGGAGGAGAAGGCCTACTCGACCATCATGCTATCGTTCTCTGATGACGTCATCATTGAAGTCGCTGCTGAGAAGACTGCCGCGGGCTTGTGGTTGAAACTAGAGAGTCTGTACATGACTAAGTCTCTAACCAACAAGCTGCATCTCAAGCAACGTTTGTTCAGCTTGAGGATGCAAGAAGGTACGCCTTTGAGGGAACATCTCGAACAGCTTAACTCTATTTTGCTGGATCTCCGTAATATAGATGTTCAAGTTGATGACGAGGATGCTGCCCTAATCCTACTGGTTTCTTTGCCGAGTTCATATGAGAATTTCGTTGATTCTTTTATTGCCGGTAAAGAAAGCGTGTCGTTGGAAGATGTCAGGTATGCTCTTCATACGAGAGAGATCAGACATAAGGCGTCCGGATCTGGTACAGGTGGTGAGGCATCGGGTTTGGCTGTTACAGGTGGAAAGGGAAAGAAGAAATCTGGAAAAGGGAATTCGAACAAGAATTCCAAGGGTCCCGGTCCACAGCCAGGTGATGCTTGTCACAACTGTAAGGAAGTGGGGCATTGGAAGTACAACTGTCCCAAGAGAAGAGGGCAACAGAAGAAACAAGGTTAAGTTGCCGTGGCAGAAGCGGACAATAGTTCTGAAGACGATCTCGCCTTGGCTGTAGATGAGAAGGCACATCGTGGGGATGTGTGGTTTCTGGATACTGCAGCCTCATACCATATGTCTCCGAACAGGGATTGCTTCACAACCTACGAGCAGATAGATGGTGGTAACGTGGTCATGGCAAATGGAGCTGTCTGCAAGGTTGTTGGAATCGGGTTCATAAAAGTTCGGACACATGATGGTTCGTTCTGTACCGTGAATGATGTCAGGCATGTTCCACGAATGACAAAGAACCTGATCTCCTTGAGTCTACTCGACAGCAAGGGTTTCAGTTTCAAAGGAAAAGGTGGAGTTGTGTATGTCTGCAAAGGTTCAAGGATGGTGCTGAAGGGCGTGAAGCGTGGGACCTTGTATGCATTACAAGGGTCTGTGTTGTCTGGTTCTGCTGCCGTTGCATCGTCTCATGTTCATCAGGAAGATATGACCACTCTCTGGCACATGAGACTGGGGCATATGAGTGAACGGGGGATGCAAGTTCTGTCGAAGAGGGATCTTCTTTGCGGGCACAGGATGCAGAATTTGGAATTCTGCGAGCATTGTGTGTTTGGGAAGCTACATCGCAGCAAGTTTCCCAAGAAGGGTATCCAACGGACGAAGGGGATACTGGATTACCTCCACTCCGACTGTTGGGGTCCTTCACGAGTTGAATCCATTGGAGGCAACAGGTATTTTCTGTCTATTATTGATGATTATTCGAGATTTACTTGCATTTTCATGATGAAGCAGAAAAGTGAGGCTTTCACGAAGTTCAAGCAGTGGAAGACATTGGTGGAGAATCAGACCGGGAAGAAGATCAAGAAGCTGCGAACGGACAATGGTCTAGAGTTCTGTAGTTCTGAGTTCAACAAATTCTGCAAGGATGAAGGGATTGCCCGTCATCGGACTGTGAGAGATACACCCCAGCAGAATGGCGTTGCAGAAAGGATGAACCAGACATTGTTGGAGAGAGCACGGTGCATGCTCTCTAATGCTGGACTAGAGAGAAGATTCTGGGCAGAAGCAGTGAACATGGCGTGTTTCCTGATCAACCGTGGACCTCATACAGGTATCGAGTTGAAGACTCCTTATGAGGTGTGGTATGGTAAGCCTGCAGATTACTCTTCACTGAAAGTTTTTGGGTGTCCTGTTTATTATCATGTGGATGAGGGTAAACTGAACCCAAGGGCAAAGAAGGGTGTATTTGTGGGTTACGGAGATGGAGTTAAGGGATTTCGAGTCTGGTCACCTTCTGAGCATCGAGTTAAACTTAGTAGAAATGTGATATATTATGAGAAGTCTATGTTTAACCCCATGTTGAAGGTTACTGTTGTTGAAGGTAGCAGGAATGTTGATAAGCAGGTGGAGCTGCAAACTCTCAATGAGAGTGAGTTTGAGCACCAAGGTGGAGAAGATCAACATGATGAGGATGTCTCTGCAGAGCCAGAAATTTCAGAGTCCAGTGCACGAGCTCAACAGTCTATTGCTTCCGGTAGACCGAAGAGAGCGACTGCAGGAGTACCTCCACAGAGGTATGGCTTCGAGGACATGGTGGCGTATTCATTTCAGGTTGTTGAAGAAGTGGATGCAGGAGAGTCACAGTCCTATAGAGAAGCAGTTTCGGGTGGTGAAGCTGATCAGTGGCTTGCCGCAATGGGAGATGAGATGGAATCCCATGACAGGAATCAGACTTGGGAGCTAGTCAAACGACCACAGGGAAGGAAGATTGTTACAAACAAGTGGATCTACAAGAAGAAGGAAGGAATCACTTCTAAAGAGGGCATGAAATTTAAAGCTCGGGTGGTTGCACGAGGCTTCTCGCAGAGGGAAGGAGTTGACTACAATGAGATTTTCTAACCAGTGGTCAGACATACTTCGATCAGAGTGCTACTAGCAATAGAGGCACATTATGACTTGGAGCTCGAGCAGCTAGACGTGAAGACAGCTTTCCTACATGGAGAGTTGGAGGAAGAAATTTACATGACTCAGCCAGAAGGATTCGAGGTTCCGGGAAAAGCAGACTATGTTTGTAAGCTGAAGAAGTCCTTGTATGGACTTAAGCAGTCTCCGAGGCAGTGGTACAAGAGATTTGACAGTTACATGCTTGAGTTGGGCTATAGCAGAAGTCCATATGATTGTTGTGTGTATCACAACAAGGCAGAGGATGGTTCGATGATATATCTAGTTCTGTATGTGGATAATATGCTCATAGCTGCAAGGTCGAAGTCTGATATCCAGAAGTTAAAGGGGCTTCTCAGTGCTGAGTTTGAGATGAAGGATTTGGGAGCTGCTCAGAAGATCTTGGGTATGGAGATTTACAGGGATAGGTCGAAGAAGAAGCTTTTTCTTGTCACAGAAGAGCTACATCCAGAAGATACTGTCGAGGTTTGGCATGTCTTCAGCAAAGCCCTTAAATACTCCTAGTGCTTCAAATGTTCATCTATCCTCAGCTTATGCACCGCAGTCAGAGGCTGAGAAGGAGTACATGTCGAGAGTCCCATATGCTAGTGCAGTAGGTAGCTTGATGTACGCTATGGTATGCACTAGACCTGATCTTGCACATGCTGTTAGTGTTGCCAGCAGGTTTATGATACAACCTGGGAAGGAGCATTGGCAGGCTGTGAAGAGGATCTTCCGGTACCTTAAGGGTACATGATGACTCGGTATTTGCACATGTTTTCCCCTTTGTTTCTTGATTGTTTGAGCTTGAATTATCGTGTCTTTGGCCTATTTTATGCTAGGTTGTGTTCCTTTGTCACATTTCAGGTCCTAGCACATAAAGTGAAGCATATGCGCAAGTTTCAAGTCAATCAGAGATCAATTGACGATTCGGGAGAAGAAACTTGGGTATGACCTGAAGAAGAATGGATTTCTACCTCACTTTATGGACAAAGAATCATGCAAGCTTGTAATGAAAAGAAAGAGGACGAGACTACGAGCGTCTGGGATCAAACGGCGACTGATTCGGAGTCCGGACGAGGGAGAAACGAAGCATTAAACAGAGGCTGAGCAAGCCACACGGGCACAACCCACACGGCCGTGTGACCTGGCCATGTGGCCGTGTGGAAATCACCGAGCCTTCACACGGGCTGATGGGAAAGCCACACGGCCGTGTGGCCTGGCCGCGTGAGTCGGGAATTGCTGTTTAAAACTCGATTTTCAGCAAAAGGAAAGGAGGAGAGCTGGGTTTTGGATCCCAAACACCCAAGGGACGAACCCTAGAGAGAGAGAGCGACTTGGGAACATTCTTGGAGCTACTTTGAAGGATTTCTTCGCCATTGGAGCTCGGGAATCAAGCTTGGAGATGGAGATTGAAGATCTAGATCAGATTTCTGCAGTCTCTCTCTTCTCTATGGAGTAACTTCCCTTCACTTAGGTTTTGAGGAACCCTAGTTCCATGAGTTAGAATCTTTCTTGTATGAAGTTTTGGATGCTATATTGTTTGATTATAATCGAATGATGCATGTTTATTGAGTCAATTGAAGTCTGATCAACTTTTCCTGATTTCTGCTGCAATCTGAGATAGATAGAATCTGATTAGGTTGCTAGAGTCTCATCATTCGATAGTAGGAGATTGGCTATACGAGAGTTAGCCAGTTTACTGCTTTGTACTAGAATCCAATTCCAATAGTGGAGTTATGTGCTTATTGCTTCAGCTTTCTATCCCGGTGAAGACTAGTCATCTGCCGGATAGTTAGACTGAGAGGGCTTGGTCAGCTTAAGAGATTCCAAGCTACTGTCGGATCTTCCGCAGTTTAGTCAACAGTAAATCAACCAAAAGGAATTACAACTTGGACCTAATTGAGGAGCTAGGGGGAATCATACCTAAGTGAGTTCCCAAACTGTAATTAGTAGTTTTACTTAGTTTAATTAGTAGGGTAGTTTAGTTAATCAATCTTGAATCTAGTTTGCTAGTTAATGAACTGAAGCTGAGTAATAGTAACTCTAGAGACCCGTGGATTCGATATTTATTACTTGTGCCACTATACTGCAGTCCCTTTCATTGGTTACACTTGGCCATTGTTAGGTGTTGTGTTTTAGAGCATCAGTACACCTGATGTGGGGATTAGCTTCGGAAGTGATATAGAGTGCTTGGTGTCTGGGTATTCTTACTCGGACTATGCTGGAGATGTTGACACGAGGAGGTCGATGACCGGTTATGTATTCACTCTTGGGAGTTCTGTAGTGAGCTGGAAGGCAACTTTGCAGTCGGCGGTGACATTGTCTACTACTGAGGCAGAGTATATGGCGTTGACAGAAGCTGCTAAGGAGGGAATATGGTTGAAGGGACTGGTTGGTGATCTGGGTCTACATCATGATCAGGCAGTGGTGTATTGCGACAGTTTGAGTGCAATATGCTTGGCCAAGGATCAAGTCCACCATGAGAGGACTAAGCACATCGATGTGAGGTATCATTTCTTGAGGACAGAGAAGAGGATTAAGGTGAAGAAGGTTGGCACCGCCGATAATCCTGCTGATATGTTCACGAAGCCGGTTCCACATGGCAAGTTCCAACACTACTTGGACTTGCTGAATGTCTTGAGTGGGTAACTCCGCCCTGCGGGGCATTGATGGCGGGAGAGAGATAGAAGGAGCAGAGTACATCAGAGATTTCAGAGGAAGAGGATTCAAGTCAAGGTGGAGATTTGTTGATATGACTTGAATCGGACTATCAGCCGCTACGACTGGTAATCGGGGGTCAGCGAGTGGGGTCCAGGGGCAACGCCCCGGTGGGGGTGCGGGGGCAACACCCCCGGCCCACGGTGTATGGGCTCAATGTTATTTGGGTTCGGGTTCTGGGCCTGGTCTGTAACTGTTTCCTTTGCCAGATTGGATTAGGTTTAGACCCACATGGAGAAGTACTATAAATACTTCTCATACTCCTCTGTAATCTGTAATCTCCTTGATATAGTGAAACTGGCTCTCTCTCGCCCGTGGACGTAGCTAACACACATCGTGTTAGTGAACCACGTAAATCGTGTGTCGTGTTTTCGTTTCTCGCTTTCGTATTCTTGCTTTGTCGATTCCTGCGATTTCCCGATACTTAGCAGCGCGATTTATAACTCCTTATTATGCTCTGCAGTTGCGGCCAATCCTGATCTTCCACATCAGAAACGCTATCATTTTCTTAATGTCCCTACAAGAATCAACGGAATGCTATAAGAAAAACATAATGTTTTAGTAGACAACATTGATTTCTCATTGAATATCATTGTTTTGTTGTAGCGATTGGAGTTTCCCTAAACCAGGGGCGGATACATGAGGGTTTAGGGGTGTCCCGGGACACCCCTAAAATTTGGGAATAAGATTATTCAACCCCGGTAATAGTTTTGTATGGATAAAAAAGATTATAATTAGTGATTCGGGACACCCCTACAACGATAATCCTATCCTCACTTGTAGTTTGCCTATACTTAAAAAAAATAAGCGATAGTCTGTGTTATTCAAACTTAGGATATACTATATTTTTTAAACATTGTCCTCCATTAAGTTGCAACTCATTTGTTGTTCTATTTTAAACACTACATAATAGTAAAAATTCATTCCTTATCCCCGACTATTTCTAAAACCTAACAATTAAACTAATTACGGGCTACCCTTAATCTGAATTGATTTTATGGTTACACAACAAGTGTTGAAAGAGTCTTTTCAACTTTGAGTTACATCAATAACAAGGTTAGAAATCCATATGCGATTAGTTCATGAACTATTGTCTAGTACGATATACAGATTTGTTGAGAAATTTACCAAGCCTATTTTTTATTCTTTTTCATAATACAAAAACAAGCCGTGGCCTTATGTTAAAATTACTAGTCTGATATTTCTGTATTTATGAATTTTTATTTTTTTTTATTTTTTTTTTTTTTTTGAAGAGAATACCCTTGTTAAAAATTTCTAGATCCGCCACTGGCCCAAACCTTCTTTTTTGTAGCGATTGGAGTTTCAATCGGCCAATTTGTTTACAAAGGCATTTTCTATAAGTAGTCAATGGTTCCTCGCTTGCAAAATTGATGATGCGAGACCTCTAATCTTTGCTCTTTTTATGTATGGAAATGTATGCGGAATTTATAACAGAAACACAACGTCAGTATTATTTCTTATTGGTTGATTGGCAACTGAACATGGGTAGGCACCAATTCAAATACACAACAACAACAACAACAACATAACACAGACACGTACCGATGTACGTATATGCATGCATGCATGGAACACGTGCATGGAAGAAAACAGAATAGATAACGGTAAGAACGGGGAAATAGAAATCTCAATGGACCAGTGCATGGACGGAATGAGGTACGTACGTAGCAAAGGAAAAGGGTTGAGACGACGTAGAGTACGTAGTTAGAAGCATTATGAATTTAGGTGAAGGCAGCGAGAGCGGCCCTGAGGTTGGCGATCTGTTTATCTTTCGCCGCGAGCTGGTCGTCCGTCTCCTTGGCTTGCTTCTTCATCTCCTCGCTCTTCTTCTTCGCCGCATCTGTTGAGTTATGCATTTTAGATATGGGCTTTAGCCCACTGTACATTGTAGACTAGTAGTCGTAGGCCTAGTATAGAGTAACCCTAAGCTGGCCGAGTCTCTTCTACCGCAGCTAGGGTTAGGATACATATATATATTGTACCTCGAACCTGCATTGAAGCTAATTTAATACGAGAGTTGATAGCTTTGGCCGTGGACTAGTCTTGATCATACCGATCAAGGAAACCACGTAAATACTTGTGTGATTTCGTTTCTAGCTTGATTAATCTTCGCTACGATAAGTTAACATGGTATCAGAGCTCACCAGTTCGGATTCTGATCGGATTTCTACTCGTCTCAACTCCACGAATTATTCATTATGGGAGTTTCAATTCCGCGTCTTCATCGAAGGCAAAGGGCTGTTCGGATTGCTTGATGGCAGCTCGGCCAAACCCACGGTTCCGCCCTCAACCAAAGCTAACGTGCTGAAGTGGCTTCAGAACGATGCTCGGGTATGCTCCATGATCATGAATTCATTCGATCCATCCATTATGCTGGGACTGCGTCTTCTTCCAACCGCTGCGGCCATGTGGAAATCACTTGCCGAGACTTATTCCACTACCAGCGCCAATCGGCAGTTCGAACTCGAGGTAGAGCTGGCCAACCTCCATCAGGGCGAGCTTGATGTGGCGTCGTACTTCAATGCGGCGCGTCTCCTTTCGACTGAGCAAGACCTGCTCACGGCATCCCTCCTGACGCAACCGATTCCGGCCGAGCTCCAGGCTGAGAAGACAAAGATCCGCTTGCTGCAATTTTTGATGAAACTCCGCCCCGAATTTGAGTCGCTGCGGGCAACCCTTTTGAATCGTGATTCTCTTCGGCTGGAAGGAATCCTGGCGGAATGGATCCGAGAAGAGACCAGGCTGCGCACGCAGGCAGCTCTCGATGCTCGACCAGGAAGGGCGGACGTCGCGGCGTTCAGTGTCCAACGCCCCGCGAACCAAACTGATGCTGCTCGTCCCAACTCTGCTGTCTCTCGCTCCCCAGCGCAGGCCCAGCAGTCCGCTCCAGCTGCTGATGACGAGCTGCATGACGCGGCGTACGCGGCGTACCGATCTGGACCTCCTCGACGTCCTCTCTCCGAGGTGGAATGCCACCATTGCCATGAGAAGGGGCATACCAAAAAGTTGTGCCGTAAGCGTAATTTTTGCATTTATTGCAAAAAACGTGGCCATATAATTTCCGATTGTGAGTTGCTGCAGGAAAGGATGGGTGATGTTGATAATCCGGGTTCTAGCGGTGGCCGTACTGGGCGCTATGATAATTCTCGTGGGTGATCTCGCCCAGCTTATGCCACTGCGCCAGCTCCCTCTACCGATGGAGTGCTTGTCACTCCTGCTGCTCTCGAGAATATGGTGAACAAGGCCATCTCCTCTGCTTTTGCCAGTCTTCAGGTCACAGGTAAATCTCGAAAATGGATTATTGACTCTGCGTGCTTTAATCACATGACCGGTGATCGTCGTATTGTTAAAGAGGTACAACCAGTTGATGGCCTTTTGTTACAAGTAGCTAATGGCAATAAACTTCAGATTTCTGGTGTTGGGTCCGTTAATGATGATCATGTTCGGCTACCTAATACTTTTCATGTTCCCAATTTGGTGCCTAATTTGATTCGGTGGGCCAACTTACTGAACAAGGTTGCCGGGTTACTTTTGCACCTTCTGGTTGTGTTGTGCAGGACATGAAGACGGGGAGGGAGCTCGGGAAGGGTAGCAAACATGGTCGGATCTTCTTGATGGATGAGCTCTTCACGTCATCTCCCTGTTCTTTGTCGCTTCTGATTCGGTGTCTAGGGTACCATCATTTCCTGTCTTTTCGAGTCTTAGTGATCAAAAATTTCAGTTGTGGCATGCTCGATTGGGACATCCCAATTCTGGTAGACTTGTAACCATGTTTCGTCAACAGCTATTTGGCTCAACTACTAAAATTGATCGGTTGTCGGATTTTACTTGTCAAAATTGTGTTCAAGCTAAAACCACCCGTATATCCTTCCCTTCGAGCACTACAGTTATTACCGAGCCTTTTCATCTTATACATACTGATCTTTGGGGACCTAGTCCGGTGACTTCTAGACATGGTTATAAGTACTTTGCATTGTTTATCGATCATGCCACTCGTTTTACATGGGTGTATTTTCTTCTTCTCAAATCCGATCTTTTGCCCATTGCTACTGAATTTTTGAAAATGATTAAGACTCAATTTGATAGAACTGTTCGTGTAGTCCGTTCTGATCATGGGGGTGAGTTTAGTTCCACAACTTTACTCAATCTCTATGCATCTCTAGGCATTCTTACTCATAAGTCTTGTCCAGGTATCTCTCAGCAAAACGGTCTGGTAGAACGCAAAAATAGACATGTTCTTGAGGTTACTCGTGCTCTTCTCCTCTCGTCCCATGTACCCTCTTTTTTCTGGCCTGAAACTGTTGCTACAGCTGTTCGGTTGATTAATTATCAGATTACTCCGGTTCTTGGTCAGTCGAGTCCCTATTTTAAGCTGTATGCTAAACATCCTCCATACTCCCGCCTTCGTGTTTTCGGTTGTATGTGTTTTGTGCTTCTTCCTCGTTCCGAGCGTACTAAGTTGACCTCTAAGACTGCTCGTTGTGCCTTCCTTGGTTATAGCGACATCTATAAGGGGTATCTGTGTTATGATCCTGATCTTCGTCGCATTCGTATCGCCTGTAATGTCGTCTTTCTAGAGAACCTCATGTTCTACTCTGCGTCGTCTACTACTACTCCCTTGTTTGATACATCCCTCGGACTCCCATCCTTCTCCGACACTGATGATGTTGATGACGCTCTCATTGATCTGGACCCGCACCCTGATGATAGCCCGCCTCCCTCCCCACCACCGACACCACCTTCGCCGCCGCCTCCGCCTTCACCACCTGCTCCGCCGGACTTGCCACCACTTCCTCGTCGCTCATCGCGTTCTACTCTTGGGGTACCTCCTCCTCGTCATAATGATTATGTTTCATATGGCATTGATGCTCTTGTTGTTCCCACTCGTTACTCACAGGCACATGGACATCCGGAGTTGGATAATGCTATGACTGACGAGATTGGAGCTCTCCTTGCTAATCAGACATGGGTTATTGTTCCTCGTCCTATTGATCATCCGGTGGTCGGGTCTCGCAGGGTATATGCTTTGAAATTTCTTCCCGATGGTACGTTAGAGCATCACAAAGCTCGTGTTGTTGCTCAGGGCCTCAGTCAAGAGTTTGGCATAGATTTTGATGAGACTTTTGCACCGGCGGCCAAGATGGTCTTTGTCCGGACTCTCCTCGCGGTGGCCTCAGTTCGGCGCTGGCCCCTATACCAGCTTGATGTCAAGAACCCCTTTCTGCATGGCGATCTCAAGGAGACGGTTTATATGGAGCTTCCTCTTGGCTATTTTCCGCAGACGGACATTCCTGATCCTGTCTGCCTTCTTCAGCGCTCACTTTATGGTCTTAAGCAGGCTCCGCGTGCATGGTTTGATAAGTTCCACTCTACTGTGTTGAGTCTTGGGTTTCGACAAAGCCAGAATGATCCCTCTTTGTTTACTCGACGCTCTGAGCGAGGTATTGTCCTTCTTCTTCTATATGTCGATGACATGATAGTTACTGGTGATGATGAAGTTGGGATCAAGGCTTTGACTAAAGGGCTCCATGAGTCCTTCACGTTGAAAGAGCTGGGGTCTCTCTCTTACTTCCTTGGACTTGAGGTCCAACGGTCTTCTGGTGGTATTCTTCTGGGCCAGAAGAAGTATATTGCGGATCTTCTTGACTCAACTTGGTTCTTAGACTGTGTCCCCATTTCTACACCTATGGAGCTTAATGTGAAGTTAGGGAGGGAGACATGGGATTTATTGCCTGATGGTGGTAAGCAGTATCGGAGTATTGTGGGTAGTCTTATCTACCTTACCACGACTCGTCCCGATATTGCTTATGCTGTCCAGATCGTTGCTCAGTTTATGTCAGCTCCCAGGACTGCTCACTTAGCTGTTGTTCATAGACTCCTTCGATATCTCCAGGGTACTCGAGATGTTGGGTTGTTTCTCCCTGCGACAGGTTCTCTGGTGTTACAGGCATTTTCTGATAGTGATTATGCTGGTTGCATTGATACACGTCGTTCTACAACGGGCTGGTGTGTTCGTCTTGGTGGATCGTTCATTTCTTGGAGATGCAAGAAGCAGGATCGGGTTTCTAAGTCATCCACGGAGGCAGAGTACAGAGCTATGTCAGATGAGGTATCTGAACTGGAATGGCTTCAGCGACTGCTTACAGATTTTGGTGTCACATGTGCAATTCCGATGGAGTTATATGTTGACAACACTAGTGCTATTCGGATTGCTACAAATCCAGTTATGCATGATCGTACGAAGCACATTGAGGTTCATGTGCATTATATTAGGGACTTGGTTCGAGATGGTATCATTCGCATTTTCTATGTGAAGTCAGAAGATCATATTGCAGACCTACTGACGAAGGCTTTCACTGCTAGTCGACATTCTTATCTCGTGAGCAAATTGATGTTGCCAGACCTCCATCAATTTGGGGGAGGCTGTTGAGTTATGCATTTTAGATATGGGCTTTAGCCCACTATACATTGTAGACTAGTAGTCGTAGGCCTAGTATAGAGTAACCCTAAGCTGGCCAAGTCTCTTCTACCGCAGCTAGGGTTAGGATACATATATATATTGTACCTCGAACCTGCATTGAAGCTAAGTTAATACGAGAGTTGATAGCTTCGGCCGTGGACTAGTCTTGATCATACCGATCAAGAAAACCACGTAAATACTTGTGTGATTTCGTTTCTAGCTTGATTAATCTTCGCTACGATAAGTTAACACTCCCTCGCTTGGGCCTGCTCTTTCAGCTCTTGGATCTCCTTCTGGGCCGCATATTCCCTCTCCTTGGCCTGCTTCTCCTTCTCCGCCGCCTCGGCCTGCAACCTCTTGTTCTCCTTCTCCTTCTCCTCCAACTCCTTTTTCACCTGGGCCGAACCATCACCGCCTCCCTCCATCAGCTTCCCGGTGGTCCGCTCGAACCGGTCCCACGATGTCCCGATCGGGAGCGGGACAGTGACCCCGTGGTTGGACCACTTGTAGAGATCGTTGAGGCGGTACAGGAGTGCACCCGGCTTGAACCGGCCGTTGTCGGTGCCGCGGTTGTGCCACGTGAACATGAATCCTTCTCGGTTGATGTTGAGCTGGCGGCCGTGGAGATTCTGCCAGAGCTGCTCCACCTTCTGCGGGTTCAGCGCCGCCCGGAAGACTTCCAGCTCACGGTGGCTGCAGTACTTGTTGTTCCCGATCCGGGCCACCATTGTCCATTTGGTCTCGTCATCGTTCAGATCCTGGGTGTTGATGTCAGGGGAAAACGGCCCAGTATTCACCCTGATCGTGTGGTCGACGAGTGCAAGCAGCCAGAGATTGTTGGAGTCCAGCACGAACCGAGACATCTTTTTTTTTTTTTTTTGCTCTCTTTCTCGACCACAGTATATAATTTACTTTAGAGAAATTTTACAATGCTATATAGTATTGGTGCTATAGGATTTTGCCTTTATGGTACAACTTAAAATTGTACATTTACGTTATGGTACAACTTTAGATTGTACCTATACTTTTTGTACAAATTCTTTTATGGTACAACTTGAACTTGTACTTTTATGTGATGGTACAACTTCAAGTTATAAAGTTGTACCATAACATAATGGTACAAATTGCTTTATGGTACAACCTAAACTTATACATTTAATGTTATGGTACAACTTTAAGTTGTACATTAAAGCACCAATACTATATAGCATAGTAGAAGTGCTCTTTACTTTAACTTGCGTGATTGAAGTGTTTGGATTTGAAGATTAGTGTCTCCTATTTATAGCCAAAAAACCATTGTGCTTCCCTTTCTTAGTAGTTTGCTTAATTTCCTTAGTGAGTAATTCATCGTAATCATAGGGGGATTTGCTTTTTTTTTTTGTTACATATATTCACGTGGTTAACAATATAATAACTACATATTACATCCTTGGGTACTGGACAAATAAAATGTTCCAGATTGAAAACAGATATGTTAAACGATCTCACGGTCGGTGAAGAGTTTAGCGGAAAATTTCTTTTATATTTAAAGTGTAGACTATTGAGACCATCAACTGCCGTTCATGTTCCCAACAATTATTTGAAAATATTGGCCAATGTTAACGTTGCGGGGAACTTGAATTGGGCAAAGTTCGTCTATGATGGTCTTTTAGAGGGATAAAAGATTATCAAAACCAATCGGATGGAGCATCAAGAGATCAACACGTGACTGGTTGTGTTTTATTACTTGAGGTATGTGAGTTCTATTTTTTTAAGTAAATTTTGTTAGTCAAAATATCGTAATGTTTACATTTTCAGACTATCAAATTGGATGTTACTCTCTTATTTTGTAGATATTTTACCTAGAGCACGTGAATATGCATAACTTGACTCGTCATTCAAACTCCTTACCACGCATACGACATTGGGATGAGAAGTCCATTTCGAAGATTTTTAACAAGGTTTCCAGTTTAGGCGGAGTTGATTGCATACAGGTAAATATTAATATTTTTGGTTAAATAATAGACTGTGACTAAAACTAATCATTCAATTTCTTTGTATGCAGGTGGGATTTGGCAGAGATGCTGGTAGTTGTTTCAAAATTGAGGTTAGATAGATTTTATTTATTTATTATGAGTGTATCTTATACTATCTCATATCTTAAATTGATGAAGTAATGCATTATTGATAGAATAATTTAATTTTTTATTTTATTCATGTTTGACACGGGATATTAAAGTAGAAATTGGTCTATTGAGAAATGAGTTCCAAAAAGATATGCATTCTACGAAGTCACAATTAGGTGAATTGAAAAAGGAGATATAGAGCTTTCAGATGATGCAAGCTCACCTCTACAATTATCAAAAGCTAAGAGAAACCACCTGGTAATTTTTTTAGTTTTAAAACCATTTTGAGTCTGCAAATTTAGTTTACAATTTTTTTTTATATATGATGATTTATTGAACTTGTTGGTTTAAGGGAAAGCAAGGAAACAAGACAACTGATGCAATTCCATCTCAAAATGAAAAGAAAAGAAAGGCAAATCAACATGTAAGTGTATGCGTGTTCATTCCCTATGTATTCTCTAATTATTAGTGCTTGTGGTTAGGTGATGGATAACATTATTGTTTCGTGGAGATTAATATGACCAGCTTCTATAATTATTTTAATTTCTTGTGGTAATCTTGTTTTCAAATGTGGCAGGAGGAAGATGAAACAGATTCATTTGAGAGACTTATGGCTGGAGTAGATCAAAAGATTCGATCAAGAGAGGATTCAAACATGGGACTTCGAAAGAAAGACGTACTCAAAGCCGGTCCACAATTTCAGTTTCCTTATGTGGCCGCCAAACCAGCGGTAAGAGGTCGGGGTAGACAACAAGGTCCTAAACAGCAAGGTACTAAAAAGGCGGTCGATAAAAAAAAAAAAAGGTGATGATTGGGAGAATAAGGTACAATAAACTTGGATATTGTTCGACTAGAGTTTTAATCATTTAATTATTTTTGTGTTTATAATAGTTTTAATCATTCAAAATCAAAGAAATTGACACAGATCCGGTAACTTTATTTGAGGTCACGAGTGCAGGACGTGATCCTCTCCCGCACGTGTTGTGCGTGTATGGCTGCATGGGCATGTTTGTCTTTTGCCTTTTATTTTTTGTGCCCTAGTTGTTAGATGACGGGCTTTGATTTGTAGCGTATATATATGTAGCTTTCTCCTGCCGAAAGCAAGAAGGTACGTACAACATAATACAAAACCCTAAAACCCCTGAGGACGGGTTAGTTTCTCCGTGGATTAGCGATGCTCACATCGAGTGGCGTGAACCACTTAAATCCTCGTGTCGTGTTACGAATTTATCATGGTATCAGAGCTGTAGATTCAGCGATTTCTTCCGCATACTAGCGACGCTCATCCCGCTGGTCCGAGTCTTCTTGTCTCAGCGACGCTCATTCCGCTGAAGTTTTTTTGATCAATGGATACCAAGGAAGATGAGAGTTTCGGCGGCAGTGCAATGGTAACCAGTGGTGAAAAGCCTCTTACTACTGATGTTAATTCCATATATTTCCTTCCACAGTCGGATCCACAGCATGTTGGGGATCTTCTAACTCCTAGCAACTATGGGGAATGGGTCCTCGATATGACGGACTCCCTTCTAGCGAAAAATAAATTAGGGTTTGTCAATGGAACCCTCATGAAACCGGCCACAGCTCGGGAAGCTGATGCTTGGACTCGGTGAGATGCCACCATAAAAGGCTGGCTCAAGGCGGCTATGTCTCCAGAGGTACGCCGCAGTGTTCACTTTGCAAAAACGGCGAAGCAGATTTGGGATGATCTCAAGTCCCGTCTCGGTCAAGGTAGTGCTCCGAGACACTACGAGATTCAAAGATCGATCAGCCTTCTCCCTCAAGAAAGGTTGAGCGTGTCCGCCTATTACACAGAGCTATGCACATTGTGGGAGGAGGCCCAACAGATTTCCCCAACGCCTACCTGCACGTGCGGACAATGCACTTGCAATTTGGAAAAGCGAACGCGCGACCGTGACGAGAGCATTCGCTTGTTTGACTTCTTGATGGGCTTGGACGATGCCTTTTCAACCGTAAAATCCCAAATACTCTCCATGAAGCCGACTCCTGATATTGGCGAGGCTTACAATATGATAGCCACGGATGAGCAACAGAAGCGCATATCCACAAATCGGAAACCTCGAGCAGAAGCGGCAGCTTTTGTTGCGGTTCAGGAGAACAATGGTAAAGAAGACCATGATGGGGACACCGGTGGTGACCCAGACACACGTCCCCGATACTCTCATTGCCTCAAGCTCGGCCATACAAAGGAACGGTGCTTTGAGTTTCTTGGTTATCCTTCCTTGTATACCGATCGAGGCGGCAACAAAGGGAATGGTGCTGGCCGTGGACGTCGCCCGGAGAATCGCGGGCGAGGAGGCGCTCCTAAGGCAGCTGCAGTTGGGACGGATGAAAGCCCTATCCCTGGCCTCACTAAAGCGCAAGTCGAGCAGCTGCGTCAGTTTCTTGGCACCGACCCCAAGGCCTCGAGTGACACCAAGGCTACAGGTAATTCTCTCAACTCGTGCAACTCATGGATTCTCGACTCGGGTTGCAATGAGCACATAGTCAAGGATGTATGTAGTTTGGATGATCAGTTTATGGAAATGAACTTGCATGTTAATGTGCCCAATGGAGCTTCTGTTGCCGTGCAAAGTATAGGCTCAGTTAAGCTTGCTAATGGGATGGTTTTGCCACGAGTACTCTTAGTTCCGGATTTTAAATGCAACCTACTATCCATCAGTCGTCTCACTGCAGATTTTCCCCTGGCCTTGATATTCTTGCACGACTTCTGTGTTATTCAGGACTTACACTCCAGGCGGATGATTGGGATGGGTAAGCAGCTTGATGGTCTATATTTCTTGCGCTTGTTCGATGAGTTCCGAGATGCTATGGTTCACGCAGCACAAGGAGAGAGTAGTTGTTCCTCGGAAACATGGCATGTCAGGATGGGTCATCCAGCAATTGCAAAATTATCTTTGTTGCATTTAACTTCTAGTACTCGTCGGTTAGAAAATAAGCATTGCTCCGCCTGTTTGAGAGCAAAACAGTCTCGCAGTTCTTTTCAGTTGATTTCGATCAGTACATCTAAAGCTTTTGAGTTTGTTCATGTGGATATTTGGGGTGGTTATCACACTGCTTCTTTGAGTGGAGCGCACTATTTTTTTACTATTGTTGATGACTTTAGTCGTTGGGTGTGGATTTATCTTCTTCGTTTCAAATCAGAAGCTAGTCGCTACCTCAATATGTTCTGCCAACAGGTGGCTCGACAGTTTAATTGTGTGGTTAAGCGAATCCAAGCGGATAATGGGCTGGAATTTCAAACAAATGAGTTAGGTGATTACTATGATCACGAGGGCATTATTCTTCAAACCAGTTGTGTTAACACGCCACAACAGAACGGCGTTGTTGAAAGAAAACATCGCAGCTTGTTAGAGATGGCTAGAGCACTCCGCTTCCATGCCAATCTCCCGATCAAGTACTAGGGAGAATGTGTTCTGACGGCTGCCTATCTTCTCAACAGGTTACCTATAGTGGCTACTGGTAATGTCACGCCCTATGAACGGTTGTTTAACCGGCCTCCATCATACAATCACCTCCGTGTTTTCGGGTGCCTGGTTTATGCAAAAGACCCTTCTCATCACCTCGATAAGTTTGGCGAACGGGGACGAGCTTGTGTGTTTTTGGGTTACCCAGCTACACAGAAAGGATATCGCGTACTAAACCTAGAAACACACCAGCTGTTCACGTCGCGTGACGTGGTCTTTCATGAAGATCGCTTTCCTTTTCACGTCGCCAATGATCCCAGTTCAGGTCCATGT